CATTCCAATCACCAGTGATAATCAATGCATCTTGATTGCACGTTTGGTCAATTTCAGACTGCAGAAGTTGGTAAAATCTTCAGTTTCCTCATCTTTGGCTTTGGGGGTTGGTGCGTAAATTTTAATAATAGAAGTATTAACTAGTCTTTTTTGTAGGCATATGGATATTATCCTATCACTGACAGCATTGTACTTCAGGATAGATCTTGATACATTCTTTGTGATGATGAATGCTACTCCATTCCTCTTCAATTTTTCATTCCCAGCATAGTGGATCATATGTTTGTCTGATTCAAAATGGCCAGAACCAGTCCTTTTCAGCTCACTAATGCCTAGGATATCAATTTTTATGCATTCCATTTTATTTTTGACAACTTCCAATTTTCCTAGATTCATACTTTGTAAATTCCATGTTCAGATTATTAATGGATATTTGCAGCTGTTTCTTCTAATCTTGAGTTGTGTTACATCTGCACACTTTTGGAAGTCTCAAAAACTTTACTCCATTGATATCATTAAGGTCATTTCTATTCTGAGGAGTCATCTCTTCTTCTGTCGTATTTTGAGTGCCTTCCAACCTGAGGGGCTCATATTCCAGCACTATATTGGACAAAGTTTCAGGGCTATTCATAAAGTTTTCCAGCAATAAATCAGTCAGCATTTCACTGCTATTCATAAAGTTTCCATTGGCCAGTTCTTTGAGAAATGGATGGCTTCTTTTTCTGAGCCTGTCCTAATCTGGAAGCTCTGCTAAAACCTGTCCACTATGGATAACCCTGCTGGCCTTTGCAACATTGGTGACATAGTCTCCAGCCTCCTAGCAACACCTAAACAAATATAGGATGACAAACTGACAGACAAGTTCATCTTCTTTACCTGTTCCAAACCACTCTGCTCACTACCTGGCCTCCCTTAAAGCCACTCCAAACCCCAGCTCACATAGAATCTAATAAAGATACATTTTCAATTTTCTTGCAAGGGTAATGGAAATCCATCGGATGGTGTTGGGCAAGGGTGTGACATTTTTAAAAGATAATTCTGGCTGATTTGTGAAGAATAGACAGATTGGGGGTAAGAGAGAGAGTAAGGAGACAGTTAGAAGTCAACTTCAGTGGAGCCAGATGATTACAAGGGAGATCAGAGAAGTATTTGGATTCATGGTACTTTTGAGTGTATTGCTGGAAAGATACAAGAGGACAGTTAAGAAGAGGTACCAAGATGATTCCAAAGTAGTAGTTATTTTTTTGAAAGAGTGGATGAACTATTTTCAATCAGAGTATGACATACCAAAAATTGCCCTGCATCTAATAAACCCACTGCCATTAAGTCAGGTCTGACTCATAGTGACCACTCCTTGGGTTTCCGAGGCAATATCACTACAGAAGTAGATTGCCCAACCTTCCTTCTTGGGAGTGGCTAGTGGGTTTGAACCACCCGCCTTTTGGTTAGCAGTCAGACGCCTTAGGCACTACACACCAGAGCTCCCGCATCTAATAAGTGAAAGTAAATAAACTACAACTTTGAGTTGAGAAAGAAGAATCTGGAGATTAACATCTGGCTGTATGCAGAGAACTGCTGTCCCAGAGCTGGGGATGGCATAGCTTCTGGAGTCATGGGGTGGTTACTGTGGCCCTGAGGAACCAGTCATTGCAGATGCAAAAATTATCTCAGTGGCAGAGGAGATAAGGCAAGAGACTGTGTGTGTGTGCACTGTATGTGTATGGGCATATGTGTATATATATTTTACACATGCATGCACGGATATTGTGTATGCATATTTGTGTGTGGATATGTGCATGCATGTGCATACATTTTTATGTACACGCATGTATATACATTCACATGTGTTTTGTGCATGTGTATGTGTGTGCATGTATGTTGCACACACACCTTGTGTATCCAGTGCAAGCACATACATATGCATGTATGTATGCATATTCACACATGTGTGAAATGTGTATATGTGCACTGCATGTTTGCATGCATGTGTATGTATGCATGTTTGTATGTGTGAGCATGAAAGAGGGTTTTTTCTGGGAGTGAAGAGAGATGACAGAGTCAATTAGAAGAAGCTAACATAAAAGGAAGCAGTCATCCATGACCATAGACATTCAGAAGACAACTGCAGACACTTAAAAGTGTTCTGCATTCTTCTTATCTCTTCAGAAGTCCTAGGCCACTATGAGTTGGGGAAAGAAAATGCAGGTGGGTCTTGAAAATTGGAGGAATCCACCACCTGATGAAGACATGAGAAAGAATGAGATTAGATAAATAGTATTCAAGTCATGAAAGAAATCTAGAAATGAGAAGGGTAAATTTCCAGAATGAAGGATAAGAAGAAAATGGACAGAAGATAAGATGCTTTCCATATATAATCCTCATATTCTCTGATTCTCTTTTCACTCAGGGGATGAGGGTCCTGGAAGAGTCCAAATATTAGTCAGTGAACATACTGCTTGATCTGGCCCATAAATGAGTAAAGAATGAACAAGGAAGAGAACATGCTGAGAGGCAAGGAAAGGCTACTCTTGCTGACGTACTTGGGGTAGTGAGTGGTGCTCTTACACAGCAAGGAGAAGAGGAGAGAGTGCATAATCTAAAACCTGAGTCATGTAGGTCCTCATTAAAGTTAAATACTACTCTCCCCATGAGGTCCTACTTTAAGGCCCCTTGAGATAAGACTCTTCATACAGTTTTCAACAGCTTGAACTTATCATATAAATGGCTCAGCTCTGGAGCTCAGCCCATCCTAGAGCAACAAATCGTACATTGTCAGACAGGTCTCCACAGTGGATGAGGAGGAATAATTATCATCTGCAAATGCTTATGACATTCATAACACCCAGATCTATATTTAATAATAGCAAAAAAGCATTTACATTAACAGCTATTAGGCAATTCACTCATGGAGGGAAATTCTCCCACTCTCTTTCTTAGCAGCGATAAAGCATAATGAACACATAAGAACAAGGCTTTGGGAATTTTAGAGTGATTTTCCATTAAGAGATTCTCGTAGCATTAAAAACTTTAAGATTGTAGCTTAGGAGGTTTGTATAAGTCATCAAATCTCACAGTGAAATTAAGGGATAGAGTTCCAAACACAGTATGCCTGTATTCTCAAGAGTTCTAGCAACTATAATGGTAGGTCCTGCAGAAGAGACACTCTTGGGTGTATTTCAAATTTCTGGTTTTGCTGTCTAATGTTCACACTTATTTTACTTCCTAAATGTTTCCCATGCCTGCCTCTTCTTTTCATTGCTGTTGGCATTTGTTTAGTTCAAGCCTCTGCATCTCTGATGTGGAGAAATATCCTAATCTTCTAGCTGGTCTTCCTACCTCCAGTGGCATTTCCATCTAATCTGTGATTCAGAAGGCTGCCAATGATCTAGGAGCTGGCTTACATTCTTCCTTAGTGAGAACCCTCTTGCTTACAGGATTGCATCCACTTTTCTCCCTGCTTTGTCTCCTCAGCTTTCATCTCTGGGATTCCCAGTTGCACATCGGACATTCTAGCGAGCTGCCCAGCTTTCTGTTTTTCCCACACGCCATTTGGTGCTCACCTTCCTGAAGTCCTCTCCTCTGCCCAAAGCACCTTCCTTCTTCTGGCTTCATTCTAACCCTTTTGTCTGAATAACTACTGAGCATCCTTCAAGACTCAGTACAGGCAATACTTCCTCATCCAGGCTAATCAAAAGGTTGGAAGTTCAAGTCTACCCAGAGGCATCTTGGAAGAAAGGCCTCTTGATCTACTTCTGAAAATGAGCCATTAAAAATGCTATGGACCACAGGTCTACTCTTAATGCAACCTAGCATTGCATTCTTTCACATACTAAAAGATCACCATGAGTCAGAACTGACTGGATAGCAACTGTGTTTTTCTGGGTTTTATTATGCTATTACACTACTATTTACTATTTATTAGCTAGAGGAATATAGAAAGGTTAATTAGTCACTCCATGCCTCAATTTTCTTTTCTACAAAATGGGAAGAATTATAATACCCATTTTAAAGGGTTACTAAGAGTATAGCATAGTGGTTAAGGCACTTGACTGCTAACCAGAAGGCTGGCGGTTCAAACCCACCAGCCACTCCTCGGAAGTAAGATGGGGCAATCTACTTCTGTAGTGATACTGCCTCAGAAACCCAAGGAGTGGTCGCTATGACTCGGGTCCGACTCGACGACACATAACAACAACAACAGCAAGAGTATCAAATGGTAGGCAAAGTGATTACACAGCATGAGCTCAATATATGGTAGCTGTTATTTCAGTGTGTTTATTGGTACAACTATAGGGTGTTAAGTCCTATTTCTCAGCCTTTCCTATATGAGTTCCCCTGCAACTTCTCAGCCTGCTCTTCTATCTGATGCCACTTACATTTAATTTGATTTTCAAAATCTCTTTGGAGTATTCTTTTTGCTTCCTCTCTTTCTAGCCCCCCTCATTGGTTATTCTAGAATTTCAGACCCATCACCAAAGTGTTCCCATGAACCCATTAAGTGGGCTGCATCTCTCCCTTCCTCCTTCCTCCTTGCTCTTCCAGCTCTACTCTCCCTTCCCAGTGATGGCAAGAAACGTATGGGTGTTCTCAGACAAAGAGCATTATTAGTATGATTGGATTTTGTGTTACATGGATTACTGGACTAGTGCCAGAATGAAGTTGTATACACCAAAATTTCAATTCATGGACTCTCCACTTATTTTTAGTTGAGTGATTCAATAATGTTATTTCTTACTGGCAGCTGATACCTATTTTATGGGTATAGAAAACTGAGCTAAGGTTAATACATTATCACATTTTTTGGGAAAAAGAAAAGTAATAGGTAAGAAATGCACTTAGAATTAAGAGCTTGGGGGTTGGAATGATGCCTCATCAACTTGTAAGCAAAAAACATACACCCTGTACCTGGGAAATTAAGAAGTAACAACCTAGCATTGCATTCTTTCACATATTAGAAGACTGAGGAGGAAAACAGCACTCTCTTCCTGCTTTTCACTCACCTCAGCAAAAACAAAAGGTGCATCAAACTGGAAACAAACATGGCCATGCTTGATGGCTTGAACAGAGGCAGGGCCACACCGGTACATTCCTATAGTACACAGAGAGAGGAAAGCATGAGTTTTCCATCTCCATTTCTTCATGTACATAGCACAGTTCATAGAGCTGGGGATGGCTCTTCAGAGACAAGTGTTTCACAACTTTGTCTTTGGCTTAGCCCAAACATCTCCATGGCTGGAGAGGGCACAAGGTCAAAATGTTTGATGAAGAGGATTTGGTTGAAAATGCTTCCTCAAACTAAAATTTGAAGCCATATTATATATATATATATATATATATATATATATATGAAGGGCAACACTCTTCTGCATCTATTCTGCCACCAACAAACACATACCTAAGTGTATTTTGGCTAAGCTGTTGTCCTACATAGTGTTTATCAATTTTTTTTCAACAGATATCTTAAATGTTGAAAATATTGATGTGTCCTTGGTGGTTGTTATTTACTTTGATTTATGTCTTTTCTTTTTGGATATTATGGCTAATTTCTAGCCACAATTTGGGTCAAGTTTAACTGGAAAATCTGGGATTAACCAAACACATTGACCAATTGACCATGGATTCAGGAAGTCAGAAGTTTCATGCTAATTTTTATAAAATTCTTTAGACTTTAACCATTATCTCTAGTTGATAAGAGATTAGCTGGCATTAGTCATCACCACGACATAAGTCATCTCATAACATATAATCCAGGAAGTGTTGAACTTTTTCTCTTAAAATGCAGTATTGTAATAAAATTCCATTAGAAATATGTACTGCATGTTATGCATTTTAGAAATACATGGGCGGTGCTTATTGTTAAAGTGATCAGTTGCTAACCAAAAGGTTGGAGGTTCAAGTCCACCCAGAGGCACCTTGGAAAGAGTTTGTTTATGCTTTTATATGTCTACATATCTACATTTATCAATCATTTCAACACCTAAGGAAATAAACATAAACATATCTCCAGTACACAGACTTGTTCATGATATTAAAGAGAAATGGAAGACTATGATATAATTTTATAAAAGTCAGGGGGAGGTCATAGCTGCCACTGTGTAGCCTAGTTTGCAAATTAACTGACAAATACCCTCATAATCAAGTTTTCAAAGAAATCACACAACATTGAAAATAAATCAGGTTCTGGGGAAATAAGAATTAAAGAACAATCTAATTATTTTTTGAGTTCCTTATTTTCTCTACTGCCTTGTATCTTATCACTGAATATCTGGGAGGGCTAAAGTAGATTTTATAGGCCAGTAAAAATGCTTGCACAGATATTTTTCTCTTGTCTTCAAAACTGCTTATTGAAGCAAGAGTAGATGAATTATATATGTTAAGTTTTATGTTCTAAAAGTTATAAAATAATCAGGATAAAGCTGACTATTGGAAATAAATTAAACTTGATTGGCAGTTATTCCATACTGTTTGTGTACCCAGAAAGCATACTTCTGATGTTGGTGTGTGTGGTGCAGTGAATTACTTGGTATAGCTTTTCTAGCCATAGTCTTTGTCACTCCTACCAGATTACTGGGTGGGGCTATGCAAATAAGGTGTGTAGAACTCTTATGTTGGGATTGATTAGTTTTGTCATTCTGCCAAGCTTAATATGAGCCTTCCTAGAGGCAGAGAGGGGAATCTCACTGCCATCAAGAAAGAAAAGCTGGAGATTAAGTAGAGTGCATCCTTGGGCCTGAGATCCCTGCATTGGACTCCTTGGCAGAGATGCCTGGCTGAGAAAGATGTCTGGCAGAGAGAGATACCCATCTGAGAGAGACATCTGGCTGAGAGATGGCAACCGAGGAACTAAGCAGCAAGAGACAGAGCAGTGGGTTTCCGGCCCATGTATAAGAAAGCTGAGTGCCCTTGGGTAGAAGGTTTTCTGGTGGAGGGAGGTGCAGGTAGGTGTACGTATTGGCAGAGCTAAAAGAGCTTTGTAACACTTGCCCAAACAGGGAAGAAGCCAGGCCCAGAGGCCAAGGGCCAGAGAGGTGAGCCTGAGGACACAGCAGAGAGGAGACTGTCCTGATTGAAGAATTGTATCCTGAGCATGTTCCTGAACCCAAATCATAACTTGTTACTTCCCTAATAAACCCCCAAATCATTAGTATTGTCTATGGCTACTACAACAAATTATCAAACACAGCAGAGAAGTAGTGAGTGCCATGGGAGGGATGGCTGGTATCAGAGTCAGTAAAAAGATTGGAGAGTGGCAGTGTATCTCTGGTCTCTTAGGAATAAGCCTTTGGTTGTTGATGAGCTTCTGTTTTCTTGTGAAGTTAAAGGAAGTCAGAAGATGCTGCCCCAAGTCCTTTCTGCAGTGTTCAGTGGGAATGTTTTCCACATGTCAAATGCAATCATAAAAGCAAGATACAGATCAGCAGTGTTTTCCCCTTGGGAGGATGTAGTTTTACCATCACTGTTTTCCTGGGGGGTGCTGTCCACAGCCTGCCAACCACCAAATCCAACAGGAAGGTCAGGCCTTGTCATCCAGGCCTCATTCCAGCAGTGGTAGTTCCTTAGAAAACATAATAAACCAAGAGGTTAGGCTTCTCATCACAGTCAGTGCTCCAAGACATCATCAAGTCACCTAAAATCCTGTGTATATGTTATCTACAAATTATTGGATTGCATTAAGGCAATGTGGGGCTCCCAGAGACATGCTGAGAAACCAGGCTTGAGTTTGCTGGGCATATCCATTTCCACTGGCACAAGTGGGGACACTCACAGGTTGGACATTGCTTTTCTCCTGTGAATATTGGCTTCAAGGTCACCCAGAGATATTTTAATTAATGCATTAAACAGTTTTTATCTTAACCATTTTCTGTTGCCTAATGAAAACAGAACTTATTGTGTGTTGAAAGGGTAGAGAAGAAAACTGAAACCAAAATACATATATCTTTGAATTTTTTTGTATATTTTGAATTAAAAAAATTACTTTGTAATAATTAAGTAGTAAAGTACTTTATGTTTATGATCTCAGACCATTGCCATAGAAATGACTACATTCACTATTGACTATAGTTCTCTATAATTTGTAGTGAATTTCGATTTGTTGTTAAATAAGAAGAAAAGGTTGTCAGGTTGAGAGCCTCTTTGCCCTTTATCATAGGTGGGCAACCTGTCAGCTAAGGGCCATGTAAAACTTTTTAGACTTTGCATATGACCCTTGAAGCAAGAGCATGAAATAAAATGTCATCATGAATTGTATTATTATGTCCTTGGAAAGACCTAAAATTATATGACAGTACAGAAACAAATGAGAACACATTAACCTATCAGTGTTATAGAAAATGTTCATATAGTCATAACGATTTAACGATGGGGTGAGAGGACTACAGCAGTCTTCATTTATAGCACTGATGAATTTCAGATTCAACTACTATTCATCCTTTCCCTAAAAGTCCTCAATGTCAGTAATTTGTTCATATTCTCACCTCTCTCTGAGTTCAGCCCATGTGTGATTGGCTCAATTAAGATATTTTAACATATATTTATGAAGTGGCACCATGTACAGGGTCTTGATCACAAGGAACCAAAGGGAGAGATAAATATATAAACCAATTACTAAAACTTATACGTTTGTTATGAGGCTTTGTCATCCCTGAGTGAGGCAAACAGCTAAAACTCTTGGCTGATAACTGAAAGCTTGGAGGTTTGAGTCCAGCCAGAGCACATCAGAAGAAAGACCTGGTGATCTACTTCCAAAAAATCAACCATTGGAAGCCATATGGAGCACAGATCTACTCTAATATACATCTGTCAACACGAGTTGAAATCAACTCAACAGTAATATGTGTGTGTGTGCGTATGTGTGTGTGTGTGAGGGTGTACGTGTGTGAGTCTTAAATAAGATAATAGTATAAAGCAAACAAAAAATTATGTAAAACATTTACAATAAGGCCTGCCATGTGGTAAGTGTTCAAAAATGATAACTCTCAGACCTTTTTAAAATTATCTTAAGGGATACATGCTAAAATGGAAGTTTATTTGGGAGACAGTAGGATCTCAGTGGAGAACATTTCCAGGCACTGGGGAGGAAGGCTTAACAGCAGAAGTGATATTTGCACTGAGCCCTGAAAGATATAAATGCTAGGTTGACAAAACTAAGAAGAATTATGGAAGTGTGAGATGGTTAGCCATCTTGGTGGGTTTGGGGAACTGGAAACTGTTTATTGTGGCTTGAGGGTCTTATGTTTGTATATATGTGTACAAAGGTGAAGAGTGATGGCAGAGGAGAGTGGATAGACAATCACAAAAGTAACAAATAGGGATAGCACTTACTATGTGGTAGGCACTTTTCAAAGAAGTATGTCAATTAATGCATCTGATGTTCCCAGCATCTTATGAGAAAGGCACTATTATTACTACCTCCAGGTTAGAAGTGAGGGCACTGAAGCATCTTGCCCAAGGTCATACAGCCAGTTAGTAACACAGTTCCAGGATCCATGATCTTAAACACTGAACTATGCTATAGGCCAAGATGAGATTATGGGATACTTTTTTTTTTTTTTTGGTTTTCAACAAATTCTTTTTTTTTTTTTTTTAATTAGGATTTGGGTGAAGATTTACAGAGTAAATTCACTTTTATGGGATACTTTTATGCCAAGTTAAATACTTGGGCTTTATTCTTAAGCAGTAGGCATTGAAATTATTTAAGGAGAATTGAAGCTGGAAATCTTAACTTAAAAAAAAATTATTTGTAAATCTCCAATCTCTATAGAATATGGATAGAGAAGTAAGGTTGGAGACAGAGCCGAGTGAGTACCTTCCACCACCCCCCCCCCCTTGCAGAGGCATTGCAATGATCCGGAATGGATTAAAGAGTGTTCACTACATAGGCCATCACTATGGAGAGGGAGAGGAGTTATCAGAACGTACAACAGACCAATGTGTGGAAATGTGAGGGAGCTGGATGAGTGGAGGAAAACTTTGTCATTTCCAGGGAGTATTATGGTTCCATTTACCAGGACTGAACAGAAGTAACCTGGTCTGTGACATAGGAGTGGACTTCTCTTGCCAAGGACAGCAAAGGCAGCTACACTGGAGGCTGATGACCAGAGATGTGCAATATTCTCCTTGTTACTCTTATAATACCCACACTCTTGGCAAACTGAGGTGTGGCCATTCCCTGGCCTCCACCCACATTCTTGACCAGCAGGAATTCCATCCAGGTCTGTGCCCTGACAGAGCCTAGGTGTTGTTTCTTGCTCCCAACAGTTTTGCTTATGATTGTTTTTAAATTATTCTTTTTCTCTTCCTTCTTTCTTCTTCTTCTTTTTTCTTCCTTTTTCCCATCCTTGTATTTTATTTTTCTCTTCTTTATTTCTCTTTCCTTTCCCTGCCCCCCCCTTTTCCCCCTCTTTCTTTTGGTTCTTCTCATCATTTGTTTTTCCTTTTTCAGTTTTCCCATTTTTTCTTTACTATTCTTTTACTCTTGCTCTTTTCTCTCATTCCTCCTTCCACAGATATTGTGGCTTTTTCCTCTCTTTTTCTTATTATCTTTCTTTTATACGTTTTTAATAGTTTGAAATTTTTTCTTCTTATTTATTGTTTTTTTATTCTCTGCAATTGTTCCTATTTGTTTATGAGGCTTGAGTTTTATTTTTTGTAGTTGTTCTTTTGCTTTTATTATTATTATTTGAGTTTATTGTTGTTATTATTATTATTTTAATCTGAATGGAAGACGATAACCACTCTAATACAAGCCAACATACCTACACCTCCTGCAGCCCCATCCACTGAGTGAGGGCCACCACTTGCTTTTGCACCAACTGACCAACAGTAGACAGTGGCCAATACCAGCTCAATTCATCCTCAACTGTTCCTTATGAACAGCTAACAGAGATCTGTGCACACTCTTTTATTCTCTATCATACCCACCAGGAGACAGGTGGTGAGTGCCTAAGTGCTAACAACTAGCGAATAGAGGAGCACAGTACCCTGCTCACACATATATATCAAAATAAAATAAAAGAAAAAATATCTTGGTGAATCACACAAATATACAGCCACAGATTAAACATAAACACATCACTACAATGTTGCAGAGACAACAGACTATCACCATCCACACAAAGAAGCAAGATAAAGTACTAGAACCAAGGGATCAGGATACAAACCCAGCAAACATCCTTGTAGAAGAAGCAACATTGAAATTCCCTGATAAGTTCAAAAGAATTGTATTTGGGTACTTTCAATGGACTGAGAAACAGATCAAGGAAAACACTGAGAAAATTAAGGGAAATGCAGATGAAACAATTTAGAAAACAACACAAGAAAAATTGACAAAACAAACAACAAAAACAGAAAGGGTACAAAAACAACAACTAGAAATCCAGAAAAATGATGCTAAGATTTCAGAGATACATAACACATTGAATGGGCAAAGGAGTACAACCCAATCACAGGAGGACAGAATTAATGAGATTGAAGACAAATACCTCGATACTACTTTGTTAAGGGATCAATCAGAAAAAAGATAAAAACAAAATGTAGAAAGCCCAAGATTCATATGGGATACCATAAAGAGGAATAATATACAAGTAATCAGAATTCCAGAACAGGAAGAGACAAATAAAACCACAGAAAAAAATTGTCAAGGATTTGTCAGAAGATAATTTTCCTAATATATTAAAAGATGAGAATATATCTACTCAAGAAGTTCAATGAACCCCAAATAAGATAGACTCCAAAAGAAAATCACCAAGACTTATCATCATCAAACTCACCAAAACCAAAGACAAAGAAAGAATCCTAAAAGCAGCATGGGAAAAATAAAAAGTTATCTACAAAGGGAAACCAATAAGATGAAGCTCTGATTTCTAGGCAGAAACTATGCAGGTAAAAAGGCAATGGGATAATGTGTATAAAACCCTGAAAGAAAAAAAAAATTCCAACCAAGAATGATATACTCAGCAAAATTACTCCTCAAACATAAGGGTGAAATTAGGAGATGTCCAGATAAACAGAAACTAAGGGAATTTGTCAAAACCAGATAAACCTTACAAGACATGTTAAAGGGAGTCCTTTAGATAAAGAACCAGCTACAGCAAACAACAACCAATGACTAACACACATAATGACATACCCCAGAAGCCAACCTAGTTATGGAAGTCTCCAAAGTAAAATAACCTTACAAGATTGTGAACAAGGAATGAGAGACAACAACTGGTAAATGAAGACACTACAAACCAAACAGAGGGAATAAATAGTGCAGTTACAGAATTTCTAAGTGGTGAGGAAATCACCAGTTAGTGAGATAGAACAGACTATTTTAAACCTGTGAGAAAATAATAAATCACAGGGTAACTTCAGAGAAAAATAATAAACCCTCACATAAAAATAAAAGAGGATAAGCACAAATATTTAGCAAATACTAAAACAATAACAAAGGAGATGATAACACACTTCATAAAAAAAATTAGCTCAGCACAGAAAATATTATGGAACAAAGAAATCAGGAACATCATGAAAAAACACAAAAACAAAATGACATTATTAAATTCATACTTGTCA